GTGCCCCACCAGAAGAGCTGTAGGGGGGAATCTAGCCCTACAGGGAAGCAGAGCACGCGTGGGTATCATGTGCCCACGCGTGCATTTACACACGCGCGCGCGCCGCCATGCACATCCCTCGCACCTAGGCGCTTCTGCTGACTCAAGTCCACCCCCGTCTGCCCCACCCTGTCCCCCTGGCTGCCTGCTCCCTGACCCCATTGCTAGGGCAGCTGGTTGGGAAGTGAGCACCGAAAGTGCTCCGAGATCGAAGAGTGAGATTAGAGTAAGGGAAAGGGGCACGCACAAAGAGCCAGCCCCAAACCAAAAGGGAGGGAGGGAGACCCAGACTTCTTAACCAAAGCCATGCACCGCAAACAATTTTCCTAAAACTGCCTCCACAAAACCCCTCTGTCAGAGAGCACAGGCAAGCCGGGCTGGGACCCAAAGAGGAGGAACAGCAACAGAGCAGCGGATCTCCCTGGCTGTTTCTGCTTTGCTAGGCCCGGGAGTCTGATCTGCGCCCAGACCGGGCCAGGGAGGTTGCAAGCTTCAGGTCACTTTTAAGACATGAAGATAAACGAACAGCGCTTTGGTTGGGGGGGGGGGGGTGTCGCTGCGATATTAGAAGCTTTAGTTAAAAAACAGTGAAGAGGATCCGATGAGTTGCTTGGTTTTCAGCATTTTCGTTCATTTCCTCCTCTCTGCCCCGGGGTAGTAGCATCACGGAAGCATTTTTATAGAGTCGATTAAAAAAATAATAAAAGGAAAAGCCAAATCTGTCCTCTTAAAAAGCAACGTTTGAAGCCCTATAATACGTAATAAGAAACACGATGAAACCTCTGAATGGGAACTAGCAAGGGGGAGTTTGGACTTGCAATCAGTTCTCTTTAAGAAATACTTCAGCACAGCTCAGCTCTGACGGCTGTTACATCCTCGCCTAAAACTCAGACCTCAGACTTTAACTTTGTCATGTTCCTAATAATGAAAAGCAAATGTGAACGCAAAAGGGTTGGCCATCCTTCTCCAACATGGATGTTTATTTAGAATAGGGCCTTTAAAAAAATCAAATCAGTGGGAACCCTCCAAAAGTAATCTAATGATCTCGAAATTGAGCGAGTCGAAATCGGGTGCGTTACAATCGGATTTCAATGTGTTAACATCTGAATAGCTGACGTCCTGTCCCACCACATTCTCATTTATGGAAGAGATATTCTCAGTCATAGGGAAAAGGGTCTCTCGTATTATTTACTGTTTCTTTTCTTTTTAAACTACTAGGTCCATTAAAATATTATACACACACATACATGTATACATATACACTAGATAGATACACACACACACTGTATTATACACACACACACACACACACATATATTGAAAAAACAACTAAGAGGCACATTCGACATTGGTTTTTTATACCTGATGATCTAGCTGAAATTTCCTTCAGGGTTAACAGATCGCCGAGTGCCAGAGGGGTTTAGAACAGAAGATATCTTAATTAAAAACCCTATTCAAGCAACATTAATGGTAAAAATACTTTGTAAAATACAGAAAGCATTGCACAGGGCTGATTGTGAAGGCGCTTAGCATGTGCACTTGGGTCTGTGCACACACGTAATACACACACAGAGAGAGACATATTTTGTATATTATAATACGCATAGATTAATGTTAGACCGTAAGGCAGTAGGGTTCATTTCTCTGGCTGTGGGATTCCGTAGTTTGGCCCTTACTCACCTTATTATAAAGCCTAATCTTTTGATTTACAGCCATTAAAGCCGAGAGGCTCCTGTCCCAATAGATACATTATAGTCTGAAGCGATCCAAAACAATTTGCATCTCTAGCTAGGAACTGCTTTAGCTTTTTAGACTTGCCTTTCGCCTTGTGAGCCAGGGTAAAATTACAAAGAATTTCACGCTAACCTCCCCCCACACCCCCAGCCTCTTTCGAAATCAGGTAATACAGTCAAACTCCCAGGAGAGCTTCACATCTGCTTAAAATATTGTCCAATGAAATGAAATTCTACAACAGATTGTGTTTTTAATATACTGTACACCACTAGCCTGCATACCAAGTGCGGGGAAGGTGTGTGTCTCGCTTTACCACAGGATATATGGGCGTATTAGTAACTCCAAACACACATCAATGGGATCCAGGCTTAACGAGTGCGGATCCAGAGGTGCGCTGGGGAAGGGGTGTGCTGGAGCGGTGTGTGACGTGTGGGAACAGCAGCAGCCGACTGTACTAGATACACAGAGAGACACAGAGTGTCGTGTAGGTAGGCGTATAATCTGTTTTGCAAATAAATACTCCTGGGAGATGGAAACCGTAGCTTTGGGCTACTGTTTTGAACCGTGATCCCTAAAAATCCTCGGCTGAAACCCCATAAACCGCTGGGCCCTGTAGTGTATGAAACACCTGATGTTAATCAGAGCTCAGCCTTCCGAACAGACATCAGCGCTCGTGCAAAAGAGCCGTGTTTCAGCTGCAGCGCCGAGTGCAGAAGCGCAGCGGCTTGTTCCAGGCAGCGAAGTCCCAGCTCCTTTCCCCGGCGCGGAAACCCGCTCCCGCTTCAGGGGCCGAAGCTCCCTTCCCGGACTCCCACCCTGAGCGGCCCTAGGCTGGGAGCGGCAGGGTAGGTGCCACGGACACACGACTCTAGTCAAAGGCAAGCTGGGGGCATTCGGTACAATTGGGTGTGTGCATAATCCGATGTGAGATGCGCGCATCTGCATCACACACACTCCCAGCACAGCCGCTAAACTACAAAACGACAACGGCGACTCCGGTTCTCCTCAACCTCGCTTCTTCAGCGAGGAGAAAAAGAGAGAGAGCCTTTTCCAAAATGTTCAGCTCCTTAAATAAAAGGAAATAAACAAACTTCGGTATTTTACGGGGTATTTTTTAAATGGGGGCCTGTAATCCAGAGGTGGAAAAGCACAGTATTAATTGCAAGCCAACTCCCCTAATAATACACCTAAAGTTGCCCATGTACACTGGAAGCCACGCACGCCTTTTGCCACATTTGTGAGAAAGGTGTGTGCGTGTATTGCACGCATGCACACAGCTATGTGGGCCGGTGGGGTGTCCTAATGGAGCACACTGAAAACACACAACCTGAGAGGTAAGGTATTGGGCCTTGCCTGGGCGCTGCGTGTGTCCTTTTAAAAATAAAAGCGTTGAGAAGTGTCGTCTGTCAGAGACTGCGGTAAACGGACTCTCGCTCCACTTTGCGATGATTCAAAGGGAAGCAAACTACGGGACAAATGCGATTTGCTTTATTATTAAGCCCGTATGTAGAGTCGTACTCTTATGTCGGACAGTACTGTTCAAAATTTGGAAGAGCAATTCCAACCGAAAGAAGGGGAAAAGCCACTGTCTGAGTGGAGGTAGGACTTGGACCCGCTAAACCATGCAAAAATATCCCCTGGCCCTGAAAAAAAGTAAAGAGGCTACATAATAATACACCTGAATTACAAAAGAAACCTTTGAAATAGCAAGGGATTTGTGTGTCTTTCACCTACATGCCCCTTTGGAAAATTAAAAGTTTAAACTTCAAAATAAAATAAAATACGAGTTAGTTTTCTTCCCCTTCCTATCTCATGGTCATTTAAGAATCTAATTCCTCTTCCCCAGCATTTAGATACAAACTTCACTCTTCTTACCTGGAACAGCGCTCTTACCTCCTCACTGCCATGACCTATGTTAAAAATGTATTTACAAGCAAAGGGGCTGCTCTCTGTGATCCCACATATTCTTGTAACGTCCAAGTATTACTAAGTCCTGAAAGACTCCGTGTGAAAGTGCCCCCCCCCATTTAAACAAACTAGACGCCACTATTGTAAAAGTATTCAAATACAAATTTCTTCCTTATCAAATACAAATGTAAGTAGTACCGAGAATGAGTTGGAACTTACAGTCTCCAGATATTTTGCACAAAGCCAAAATGAAACAGAAACTAAAAATAAAAAATAAAAAAGCCCACCTTTTGACAGATTCACTAGGCACCTAAATTCCCTACTGCACCAAAACCTTCACATCGACCCAGCTAGGAAACAGCAGGTATTTCAAGCTGGGCTCTACAAAGGAGGTGCAAGCGGTGGGGGTAGGAATAAAACCACCCTTTTGCTACAGCAACCCAACTCCTCGTGTGAAAATTCAGCTTTTCAAAAAAGAAAGAAAGGAAGGAAGGAAGAAAGAGTCCAAGCGATGGGGGAAAATCTGCCGCAAAACTTAGGAGCTGCAATTCCAAAATCACAACCTAGAGAAAGACACCCCCTTGTCGTGCCCCCCCCGGACCTGTTTAACACCCCCCCCCCGCCCCCAGCTGAGAGAGTCTAAATCTTTCAGTTTCAGCGTCTTCCCCGTAGGAATCTGCGACTCCAACCCCTCAGTGAGAAAGGATCCATTTTGATACAAATTCTCTGCCCTTCTCTCTCTCTCTCTCTCCTAAATAATTGTCCCTTAGACGAGTGGGGTTTTTCCCTCTCTCCCTCTCCCTCTCCCTCTCTCTCTGGATGCTGGCGGCGAGTGCCAAACGCAGATCTCTAGCGCCCACTATTTCAAAAGCCAGGAATATTATTTCACAAGACTTGGAACGACTCAATAAAAAAAAAAAAAAAAGAAAGAAGGAAAGTTTCTATCCCCTTTCGTCAACTTTGCAGCTAACTTTCGCTTCTCTCCCCCCCCCCTTCCGCTGCCATCTCTGCGCTCCTCCCGCTCCTCCGGGGTGAACCCCACCGAAGCGCTCGTGGGGTGCCGGGGAGACCCCCAGCCCGCAGGCAAGGGCCAGCCGCCGCTCGGCGAACCCAGCGCGTCTCCGTGCGGAGCCGCTCGCGCACAGCCAAGGGGTGGACAGCGGGGCTCCCGCATCTCCTGCGCTCCAGGACGGGGAAAGGGCAGGGAAAGGGGGCTCCTGCCCCGCAGCAGCGCCCACCGCCCAGCCCTCCGGCGGCACAGATCCTGCGGGACCCGGGAGGGGACCCTGGAAGCGGAAGAAGGGAAAGAAAGGACCTACTTTTGGGCAGTTTTCTCGCCCTCGCCTTGGATCTCATCTTGTCGGCTTGTGGATTCTTCTCCTCCTCCTTGAGCCCAGAAGCAGCTACACACTATCTTCATCTCCCGAGCATTGTCAGTTTGGACACCTTCGCACATGCGCACAGAGCATTCAATCTGACACCCTCGCCAGGGCCAAAAAAACTTTCCAATGTATTCATCACCATCAGGGGGTTTTTTTTGGTCCTATCCTCTTCTTCAGATCACTTATCTCCCCCCCCCCAGCACCATCACAGCCTTTCCCTGATCTGCCCCTTTAAGAAAAATCAACCCACTCTAAGCCTAACCCTTTGCACACTGACCTTACACACTGGACAATATTTAAGGATCAAGGTACCATCCTATAAAGAGGTGATTATTTATTATTAATTATTACTATTATTTAATAGCAATGTGGTAGCACGGAGATGGTTAGAGGGTGTCATTTGGTAATTGCGAGTATTTTAAACAGGCTTGGGGGGGAGTGAATGAACTTTTTTTAAAATTTACTGTAACTTTTCCTTTGACAGTCAGGTTTTTTGGGTTTTTTTGTTTGTTCGTTTGTTTTGTTTTGTTTTTGTTTTTTGCTTTGGTTCGGAGGTTTGCGTGTCTGTTTAAAAACGTTATTTGGGATTTGCCCCATGCTATCATGTAATGGTTTTCACAAGGATATTCCCTTTTTTGAATGTCGTAAGGAGAATGTCTGGTGAAATTTTGATGTGTGAACATTTTAATTAAAAATTAAAACAACAGCGTTTTTACACTTTTTCGGGTTTCGGGTGCGTGTGGCACTTTTGCTGTCGGAGTCCTTTCTTTATTAGGCGGTGCACATTTGCATATGGCCAATAATAGTAAATATACATGTAGCCTTGATCTTGCTAGTCGGGGAGTGGGAATTCTGTTTGGGTTATTAGCCAAGAGCGGCTGCATTTAGCACAAGATGCAGTCACACTTAATCTGCACTATTTGGCGTGGCGTGTGTGTTTCTGCACCCCCCCCCCCAACAATTAAGACCAAATAATATGTAAAAAGTTTTTAAAAAAAAAAATAGCTCACCGGTGTTTTTAAAAGAGACTGCGAATTAGGATGCTGGGTGCTGTGTGACAGAGAAACCTCTGGTCCAGTCTACATTTGTGCCTTTGATTCAAAGCTCTGGCAGGTACCTGAGTTTGGATTTCAGAAGGATCCCATATCATTTCTTATGCGATTCTCCCACCCCACACACAAAAAACTAGCTCGACCTCCAGTCTGGACCGGGCCATCCAGTTCTGAGGCTGCCCCTTCCCGGACGGGCGAGATGCTCTGCCTTACCCATCCCCTACCCACTGAAGGGGCTCTGAGGAGTAGGACAGACCCTGGTTTGGAGAGAGCAAAGATGAGGCTCCATGCTTTTGCATTTTAGGTACCAAGGCAGAGCCACTTTTTGGACGCCCGATAATAATAGCGATCGCCTCCCTGGGAATATTAAAAACACTGCTCCTCCTAAGCGGTCACTGCCTAGGCATTGGGGTTGTCCCGGATCCCCGGGAGCGGAGACACAGACCGATCAGACAGACCCTCTTTGAAGGAAGGAGCGAGGTGTAAAGAGCTGGGTGATCGATGTGCTTGCTGCCTTTGACTGCGGAGAAAGCACTATTTTAATTCAAGGGGCCAGGTCAGATGGTCACGGGAGAAGGTTGAAAGGTAGGATTTAATGAGATTAATATGGAGGGAGAGCGACTTCATAAACAGTCAGTAAGAGAAGCGGGCTGGGGAAAGTGCGCCGATTTGCAGGGAAGGTGCAGCAACGCGCTGGGGACTCGGCGAGCAGAGGCCTCTCACTCCAGGGCATTTCAAACCCAGGGGGAAAGCTCGCTGGGTGGCTAGGCTCGCCCCTGGGATCCATTCTGCCAGCTGAACTTTTGCACTGCAGGTGGAAGGGGGAGGTGGAATTATTCTTGCTAATTACTGGGTTTCCCTTCCTCACTGCGCTCTTTAATTGCAGGTGGAAGCAGGGCCCTTTTAGATGCTACTTATTTAGTAACAGGGAGGGAGGGGAAGGAGCCCAATTTTTAAATATATAGACAGTGAAACTTCCAACCACGTGTGGCGAACAGTGCTGAAATGTGGCTTGCAGATTTCTTTCCTGAAAATGTATTAATATGTAGAGAGTCTTTTCACTTCATTGGGCGGACCCGCAGGTTTGGAGCCCAAATCGTTTTTAGTTTAAATGTTGAAACAGCAGAGCTGACGTTTCAAATCAGTTGAAATATTTCCTACAAAGACCGTAGGTATCTTCCACACCCCTAAAATGAGCCGGTAATGGAAGACTCAGGTTTGGGTTAAACTAAATGTTCTTAGTTATTTTCTTTTCGACGTTATTGTCCATTCACTGTGTTTGCAGAACAGACGTGAAAACAAAACCTTGATTTTTTTTTTCCAAATGGCATTTAAAAATAAATCGATTTAACAAATGACAACTGGGCGGGAAGACTATATTAAATGAGTCAGGGTTCGAGTATAAACAGCAGATTGATTTTAAGTTAAGTCTCTAAAAGCATGCTCTTGCTAATTGCACACGGGTTTGCTTTTTTTAAAAAAAAAATTCTGCATGCAAATAATTCTTTGCTGGAGTCCGAATATACAAAGGTGTATCTTGCATTGACTATTAGCAAGAATAGTATTTCTTTGCACAAGACACATACATATACATATATTAGAACTCCACCGCGTTATATCTAGGAAGCAATGAACTGCAGATACATGATCTGTTTAATTTTAGTGCTAGAATCCAGCTGTCTGGCTGAGTGGAGGCGCACTCAGGTGCGTATGAAGAGCTTAAACTGTACCAGAAGGTCAGAAATCACCTTTCCCTGTGAAGAGAGCGCAGCGGAATCTCGGGGATTTTTATACGACTTCCCCCCAGGTTCCCGGCACAGCTGTCCCTATTCCCCTGTACAGCAGGCGAACGTGTAAAAACTGCGATTAATGCGGATTACACAAAGGTATCATTGAAAGTACGGTTCCCTGGCTGTGCAGAGACATCTCTCTTATGCAACTCTTCTTAATCATAAACCTGTCTTTCGATTGCCGAATACCCAGCATCCCGATCACATGCGTGTGTGTATTTCCTTCCAGAAATAATGCAGCGGCAGGGACCCACTAAATGCTGCGCCGGAGTATCCCAGGAACCAGTTGTGGGAGCAGGGCTGTCTCGTTACAGATTCCTAGACAGTGTCGGTGACAAGAGGGGCTCTCTGCTCTGGTTTTTTTGGTTTTTGGTTTTTTAAATGATCGATTTTATTTATTCATTACAAATTAAACAGAGGAAATGAAAAGCAAAACAAAGCAAACGAGCGGCTGGGCTCCCAACTAAGGCGAGGCAAAGAGATTGGGAGCAGCCCTCAGTTTTACTTTGAAATGATTTCCCCGTCTGGTATTAACAACGCTGATGTAGTAAATACGTGCACTGGTTAAATGTTGCAACAAAGATGGAACGGATTTTTCTTCGGTCCCCATCCCTTCCTCCTCCCCTTCCCATCTGATTTGCAATAATTTACAAAGAAGGAAATATCCCATATGGGGGGGGGGGCGGTTTTTCCTCCCTCTCCCGCCTCCCCCCCCCCGCGAAAACAGGTACAAAATGACGTCGGATTTACCCCAGATTATAGGGGGGGGGGGGAAAGGGTGTGAAGGGAACTAAAAGCCAAGAACCAATATATATATATATATATATACACACGCACACACTTTGAAATTATTGAAAATATGCTCAGGTTTCAGAGTAGCAGCCGTGTTAGTCTGTATTCCCCAAAAGAAAAGGAGGACTTGTGGCACCTTTCCGATGAAGTGATCTGTAGCTCACGAAAGCTTATGCTCAAATAAATTTGTTAGTCTCTAAGGTGCCACAAGTGCTCCTGTTCTTTTTGAAAATATGAAGTGTGCTTTCCTGATTGGGATAGAGGAGAGCATCTATAATTGAACAAGAATCCCCGCTGTTTTCCCAGGGTCCCCTTTTACAAATTTGTTTTAAGATCAAAAACGTATTCTCATTGTCTTGTTCTATAAAAATCCAAACAAATCGAGGCGTGATTTCCGTTTACACTGCGCTCCTGCTAGGTTCTAATTATTATCGTTCGATTCGATGCGCAGAGAAGACAACTGCTTGGTTTTGTAGGCTATGACATGCCTTTCCCCCAGCCCCACGTCCCGGATTTATACGCCCGCACAGCGCACTGGGGGTTTTGCTGCATTTCAGACTCGACCTCCCAGGGGGAAGAAATGGGACTGAAGACTAAATGCTGGTGCTCAGCAAACCCCAAACACCCAACTCTTCAGTCCCGAATCAAGAAGCAAACTCTAGCCATCCTCAAATACCGATTCTGTGGGCTTGTTGTCAAAAGCCCGACGTCCCTGGCCAGAGCAGACGCATGACCTGCTAGCCGGATATTTGATTTTACAAAGAAATCCATATGATCCAATTTTGCACCTGTTTGAATACGTATCGCTTGCATGGATGTGTGTGTGTGTGGGGGGGGGTGTTCCCTATTCTACTTGCTTGGGCTGGGGGAGGGAGTCACTTGTGAAGCCCCATAACCGTGTATTCTATCCCCACAGCACGACCGACGCACCGCTCCTCCAGCTAGCCCTGTAGCCCTGTTACAAGGCTTTCAGAGGATGCAGACAATACGGGTGAGTGGTTGAGCAGGGCACAGGGAATCCCTGCCTACCTCTGGGGAATTTCACAGTAGCTCGCCAGCTTGGTGCATTCCTGCAGCTGGTTTCAGGCTATCTACCCCGCGGAGGAGGTCACTTTGAGGCAGGATCGTAATCGTTTTCCTGTCCCATGAAAATGCTCAGGGCCTTTATATTTTAAAACAAAAATCACTGAACAGGAGAGAAGCGTGCAGACCCCTTCCTGCACTGGGTGAATTACAGGGGAATTTAAATTAGCCCAGGCACACAATCTGGGGCTGGAGAGGGTGGGTCTGTCAGCCGGGCACCACGCACAAACCAGTCCTGGCGAGATCGCCATTTTAAAGAGTCTCTGTCCCTATCTCCACCTTCATCTCTCACCCAGCCAGGGCACATTTCCACACATTTCCCCGGCGCGCGGGTCG